TCGGGACCAAGTTCTGCGCACAAGGGTGTAGGTCTTAGCGTTTAAGCTGTTTGCGGCTGAGGGTTAATGTTCTAGAGTGTAGGTTTTAGGACTCACGACCAAACGGTAGGTTCTGCGGGGTTCCGGAGGTTTACACGGTCTGAAGCTCAGGGTAAAGGACTACAGGGTTCGCGCTTTGGGGCTTAGGTGGAGGGTTTTGGATTGAGGGTCTGGGCTTAGGAGTAGCGTCGGGTATGTTAGAAGTGACGACGCCCGGTGTGTGACCGGTGCGTCCTGCTTCGGAGTGCTGATGATGCGCATGGGGGTGGCAACGGGGCGGGGGGTAATAACGTTTTTTGTTGAACGTTCTTCTTAAGGTTTCGTTAATGTTCTTTGTTTCAGCATTGTTTTAGGATGTATCATCATGTTGGCCTTGTCATGGATGCACGCTGCTGCACGGTGCTGCATGATATTTGCATGCGGACGGTGGTGCTGGATGATTCTGCTGGATGCTGCTTGGATGGGCATGGTGTTGGATGCTGCTTGCATGGGCTGTTCGTCCATCCGTGTGATAAAGGTGCGGTGAAAATGACTTTAAACATATATAATACGGAACCCGAAGGATTGATGTTATAAATTGTTCAAGCATAATCGGCGGGTGCCCAATCACTTCTGTTTTTATTTTTGGGGTCACTTGTGTCTCTCTTTCCTGGGTCGTTTGTGTGTTTCTTTTCTGGGTCACTGGTGTCTCTTTATCTCCTTCGAAACAACACAGTCTCGAGCGAACGCCCTTTTTGGCCAGCCCTGGGCTGTCGGTCTGGCTTTCATCCTTCTCAGGCTTCGGCCTGGGTTTACTCTTTTCTCCGCCTTCGGCATGGGCTTACTAGCGTACCTTTTGCTTCTTTCACGGTAAGGGGTTGGGTCCGTTTTGAAGCTTCGGCCTGGATTTGAGCGTGCTTAGGGTTTCGGCTTTTTTCCAAGCGTGCTTTTCGCTTCTTTCCAGGTATCGGGGAAGGTTTACTCCACTTTCGCTTTGGGTCTTCATTCATCACCGTTTCGGTCTGGGCTTACTCCTTTTAGGGCTTCGGCCTTGTCGGTTTGGGTAAACTCCGTTTAAAGCTTCGGCCTGGCTGCACTCCTCTTTTCTTTCATTCTCGTTTCGGTCCGGGTTTACCCCTTTGAAGGCTTCGCCCTGGGTTTACTCCTTGGTTTGGGCCTTCTTAGGATCGGGCCTTCTTCATTTTAGGGTTTCGGTCTGGGTTTACTCTGTGTAAAGCCTCAGGCTGGCTTTACTCCTGTGTTTCTTTCATTGGGGTTTTCGGTCTGGGCCTACTCTTTTTTTAAGGCTTCGGCCTGGGTTTGATCGTGTTTGTGGTTTCGGCTTTCTTTCAAGCTTACCTTTTCTTTCTTTTAAGATTTCGGTGCTTTTTGGTCTTCTTTCATTAGGGTTTCGGTCTGGGTTTGGGCTTGATCGCTTTCATGGTTCCAACATTTTTCAAGAGTGGCGGATCTTTGTGCAATGCAAGAGCAACGGGCGGTTTCGTATCGCCGGCTGCATGAAGAAATGTTTGAAAATGAAATACTCTGCGGCGGACTTCTTGCGCCATTATCATCCTCGTCGTCGTCCTGGAGTGTGTCTCGCTCGTCTGAGTCGTTGTCTTCGGTGTTGCAAGCCGACAGGGTCGGCACAGTCTTTTCCCAGTCAGAGTAGAAAGTTGGTTGGAGCAAGTGATCGAAATCCGACCGAGCATCTCCTGTGATCAACGTAAACGGACCGCGCGTAAGCTGGGATGCGAGGTGAAGGGTTCATGTTGAATTGTTTTTAACTTCGGGCTTTGTGAAGTTTAGTGTTCGAGACGTTGCCGGAAAGGCAACCTGCAAGTTGCACATAGGCCTTCTTCGTACCATTGGAGCAGGCCGGCGATCTCCCGGCGGCCAAGCTGCGTGGAGCTGGCGCGATTTGAAAGCCTCAAAAGATACAAGGTCTCATTGGTTCGTACCAGCATGTTGAATAAGGCCTTCGGTTGCAGATGCCAAGACTTCCAGCTGACTTTGTCCAGCGGTAAGCATAAAACTACGTTCGCCACGGTGCGGCCGTGACAACCCAGCGAAGTGGCCACTTCGATTTTCCCCAACACCTGTACGTGCCGCTGCATGTGCTGCACAACGTGGCGGTTCAACATGCCTTGCACCCAATAACTGCGTATCGATGGCGAGCTCGATCGGCTGGTTGGACCTCATGCCGCTCTTGTATCGAGGCGGTACGGCGAGAGGTAATTGTGTGATCTGGCAGATCGGGCGGAGCCGGGAATCATGCCGTCGCGGAGGATGCCTTTCATGCCTCGCTCGTTGGTCCGGTGGAAGAGCTTGGCAGGCGTATCCTCGCTGGAGAGTACGGTAACCCCCCTCACACTGCTCTGCGTCTCGGCCTCGGCCTTCGACAAGCCGCTGTAAAACCGGGTTGCCAAGAAGAAGTCGGCGTCCGGATTGTTGCCGATGAGCTTTTCATTGTGTCCTTGTGCCATTCTCACACGCACGGGGAACAAAGGCTGGCGCAGGGTGTCCTTCATAGGGACATCGATGCCGAGTAGCCTGATTCTCCCCTTGTTGTCAGCTTTCGCTGCACATAGCAGCTGCCTGACTTCCCATCGTGACTACCGGGCGGTGTTGAAGACCTGAATCTGGGCATCCACGTTTGCAGCACCAGCGACGAGAATGTATTCGTACATCAAGTCGTTGAGCATCCCTGTAACGCGAGCAGATAGCAGTTCCGCGTTGAGGAATCTGACACAGCGTCGGATGTCTGCAGCAGACTGTTCTCTCAGGCGATGGAAAAGGTATTGGAGACGGTTCATGCCGAGTTCAACCAAGGAAAATTGCTCGTCGCTCCAGCAACACAGCCGCGGTTTAGGGTTTCGAGTTCAGGGTGTAGGGTTTAGGGTTTTGGGAGGCGGTATATGATTGTGTATATATATATATATGTGTATATGTATGTGCCTTTGGGTATATGTTTTTGTATATATGTATATGTATACGAAAATGTATGTATAGGTATAAGGCCTACCAAGGGGCCTCTCGTTCGAGACTGTTGCTTCCGGACAATAAAAGACGGACACAAGCCCAGAGGCGGGATCGGTAGAACCCTTAGATCAACAACAAAAAACGCGCTGGCAACCATCGTGAAGCGAATGCCGAGCGCATGTGGAATTATATCCGGCAGTTTCAATTCCGATGTATGCATCCGGATGCATACAAATCACTGGCAAAACTGTGCTCCGCTGCCGACAGCTGATTGAAGCTTCGCAAATTTCAAATGCCGGGAGCCAAAACGCAAGTTTTACTGTAGCAATAGCATCATTATCTGTTGTAAACGAACATAGTTACACACATCTGGCGCTTCATATGCCGCACTTCTCAATCAGGAAATATGCATTTTGCCTGGGTTCTGCAGCATGCCTAGTTTCTGCAGTGGCGCCAACCGCCGGTCGCATACCAGGTGTCGTTACCGTGTTAGAGGATAGTTTCAGGGGGTCTAGGTTGTCATGCAACACGAATTCGGTGACTGATTCTTGCACTGCTTGGAACCATCTGCTGAGAAACTACGCTTTGTACCATCCGATTTTCAGCCTTAGAAACCCACCTCATAGTACCCATACCACTGTGCAGGTACCTTGGCTCTTGGAGTAACCTCTTCGCCCCGTAGTCCCAAACCTTACACCCACGAAGAGAACCTAAGCCCTTGTTCCTTAGACCCTAAACCCTAAACCAACTACCCAAAACCTGAAACTCCCGTCGTCCGCCTGGGAACGAGCCAGAACCTCCTTGTAGGTCTCGTGCTCAGTTTCCCCGGCCTTCTCAAACCTGGGAGTTTCCGAAAATTATGGCTTTAAAACGTCAGACTCACTTTTAAAGGGATCTATTAAGTGTTCCTATAAGGGATCTATAGGGTTTAGGGTTTAGGGGAGTTTCCAAAAAAAAAGGGGGTACCTTGTTTCGGGGTCCTTATAGCAAGGATCCTACCATTTAGGGTACTATATGAGGGTCCTCTAATTTCGGAAACTCCCACCTGGTGTCACCAATTGGTATTCGTTTTTGTAGTTACCCAATTATTGGTATTCGTGTATTTAGTCCCCACCTAACCCTGCTTATCTTCTCATGAAGAAGCGTTTTTGGGGGTACTTGTGGGTCTGGGCAGGTCTTGGGACTTCGGAGGATGGCTTCGGAGGTCGGAGCCCTTGCTCATCAGAGTATGCCATGCAGACCCCTGATTCGCACATTTCCGTTCACTAAGTACTTGGAGGATCATGGGACTTAGTAAGGTTATAAGTACCTGAATCGGGGTTATAAGTATAGTGACCTTAATTCTCACCCTGGTTACTAAGTCCCATGACCCTTTAAGTACGGATCAAAGTCAGTGTCCTTTCGTCAAGGCCCTCGAAGACGAGGGGTCTAGTCAACTTATAGGGTGGTTGTCAAAATTAGGGCCCCTTTTTGGGTACCCTGAACAATAGGTGCCCTACTATAATAGGGACCCCCAAAAAGGGATCCTAACTTTTGACAGCCATCCTTATAAGGGCCTTGATCATTCTAGAGAAACAGGGGGGAGAGCTGCAGCCCGAGAGCCTCAACGCTACTTAAAGGGTCATGGGACTTAGTAACTCGGGTTCCTTTAAAGGGTTCCTACAAAGGGATCTATAAGGGTTACTATTAAGGGTTCTATATGGGTCTTGGGGGGTACTTAGAGCATCATGGGACTTAGTAACTAGGGTTATAAGTAAGGTAACTATACTTATAACCCCAATTAAGGTACTTATAACTTCACTTACTAAGTCCCATGATCCTTCAAGTACTCCCGAAACACACGCAACCTGAAGCCCTGAGAGCCCAAACCCTGGACAAAGCGAATGGAATGCAGGAAGCCCGCAGCGGGTAAAGTCCAAAAGCCCGAACCCAAGGGGTTCTGTGTACTGTTCTGGGCGATACTTCCTTGAGTCATAGTAGTAATTCCTAATATGGAAACCCTAAATTCTACTATATCGTACACAGGACCCTTTGGGGAAAGACCCCCGCTGGCCGACAACAGAGCCGAGAAGCAAGACCCTCGCAGTTTCGTAAGCCTCCGAAGCAACTTCGAAGGCACCGCGCTTCTCGTGGCAACTGCCGATTTGCGCCCAAAGCTCCTGTTGAACGATGGAACTCTAGGCTTACGATTTTGAGGGCTTTCATGCCTTGGACTTTATCAGTGTTTGGGGTTTACAGGGCCATATGGCCACAAGGGTTCTATAGTTGTAATTTTCCCAGAGGCTCCATATATAGTACCACTATGGAATCAGGTCCCAAAAGACCATCCATATCATGGCTTTGGGGACCTAATTCCATAATGGTACTAGATTTGGAGCCTCTAGGTTTGGCTCAGGGCATTGAGGGGCTGGGATCACATCTGAGGCCCAGCCACGGTTTCAAATGTGGGATATGATATAGTATAGAATATACCTTAAGCTACCAAACCCCTTTTTTTGTAGGTTCTTATTATAAGCCCTAATATGGAATTTGTAAGGACCCTGCAAACAAGTAGGTTTTGGTAGGTTTCGGTAGATATACTAGCGAATCCTCCTTGGGTTCCCGAGTTGTCAGACCCGGCAGAAGGACCGGGAAAACGGATTCTTTCCGGTGGCTGCCGTTAAAAAGGTTTCGAGAGCAGAAAAACCAAAACACCAAGTTAAACGCAGGAAGACATCCCTTATACTTACCAAGCTCAGTGAGCGCCTGAAGATCGGGACTAGCACATCTACAACCAAGGATTCCGAAACTACGCCAACACCTCCAACACACAAAAACCTGAACATGAAGCGCGGAACACCTGCACCGACAAGCTTTCAATCCCAGACCCCGGAGCCGACACCCAAAGTCTTCAGGTTCTACCTATAGTCTCTATTGTAGTTCCTTGTTTTGGTTAACCAAAAACTATGTTATAGGATCCTAACCATAAAACTGGGCTACTATGAGCTACTTGAAGCCGATGTCACCATTGTCACTACAAGAGGGTGGTTCTTCGCATTGCATGCTACCGAGGCAAACCTGAACCCGAAGACCAAAGCCTACACAACAGGGTTGAGGGTTTAGGATAGGATCGTATACTTGTGAGGTCTTGCCTGTAGTCCTTATAAACGGTAGGCTGTTGGATCCCTAAACCCTACTTTGAGCCCCAAACCACCCTACTTCGAACTTCGAACCCTGACCACAACGTCCTGATTGAGGTAGCTAGGGGATCCGGATATCGATAGCAACAAGAAGAACCCTATTAGACCTTACTCAACCCCTCTTCGAAAGCAGCAAAGTTGTAGTCAAAGGGGAAAAGGAGGGACCCTTAATAAGGACCCCTAGGTATATACACTTACTATAGCTATTATATACCCCTTATATAGCCCATTATAGGCTGGGGGTCCCCATTAAGGGTCCCTCCTTTTCCCCTTTGATTATAGGCAACTCGAAATGAAGCCCTGCACCGCTCCGCAAGAGCGGCTCCACCGGGGCTGCTGGTTGCGTAGATCGCAGCAGCCGCTTTGAACTCTGCCAGCGCCTCTGAGACGCGATCTTCTTCCTGTTCAGGCGCTTAGGGTTCATAATTTCAAGGTTTGCTTAAAGGATCATGGGACTAAGTAATTAGAGTTATAAGTAAGGTAACTATACTTATGACCCATTTAAGTGGGGTTTTCGTTCCAGAAGTTTTGGGTTCCACCGGATTTTTGGGCTTGGGAATGTTTGAGGTTTGGGACTTCGGACTGACGTGGATTTTTTTGCTTCAAGCCTGGGGTGGCTTACCTTTGGTTAGTAGGGAATGGAAGAATGGTAGTAATAGTAGTTATAATTATACTCCATTCCTCCATTCCCTACTAACCACAGGTAAGGTGGTGGATCGGACTTTGAAAGAAGCCGGCTCGGGTTCCGATTGAGGAAACTTCCGACTGTGTCGTTTAGGGAATAGGGGGCTTGACAAAAAGCCGGGGACCGCTGAGCTTCAGGGTTCCAAATGCCCATGTCTCCTTGTGCAACATGCCCAAGTTGACCAAGAGGTCTGCATATCCAGGGCTTTCAGTGACGCCGATGACCCCGTAGATGTGCTTCGACGCCTCATAGGCCTCCAACCAGGCACGAAAGCTAGGGCTTACAGGGGTCGGCCCTGTGTTCCATGGGAGAGAGTACGCGGAAAAAGCCGAAAACTCCATGGCGTACATTATCCAAAATCTTCGGAACTTCAACTGGCATTCTGAAATTGGTGTCTTTAGGACCGACTACGTAGTTTCAGGATCTGCGTGCGTGCGGTTACAGTTATGTATTGACTGCAGAAATTCCGTGATAGGAACATGAGACACCCGGGGTCAGAGCAACGTGGGAGCTTCAGAAAATTAGGGGTACCTTATTTTGGGATCCTACAAAAAGAGTACTAGATTCGGGTCCCTCATTTTCGAAAATCGGGGACCATCAGGGCAGTCAGTGCGTGTTAACGAACGTGACAAAACACACACCGTCCACTGAATCTCCAACACCAACTGAACACCCAACACCATCAGCCACAAGAGATGCATCCACAAAGAGAATAGGAACGCCAAGTCCCAGTCCATGACTCCGAAAACTACATAGTGTAAACCCTAAGCCTTAAACTTCTAACAGTAGGCCGTCCCTGTGGTACCATGGAACGAACACTGCAACTCTTAAGCCCTGAACCCCAAATAAACTACCTTTCTAAGGTTTTGTAAGGAGATCATAACAGGGAAGGAACCCTTAGAAAGCCCCACATTTTTGAAAACTTATATAAGGAAACCATAATACGACACCCTAAAAAGGAAAACCTTTTTATCGGGTCCGGGTAAGCCATTAACGAGCCTCACGGGCTTTGTCTCGGCTCGCGCATTCCATTTCTGCTTTCCTGGTTTGTTCGTCAACCCTAAGCCCTATGCCTTGAACCCTTATATAAACCCTAAACCCAAACGGTTCGATTTTGTAAAGTTAACCTCTTATCCACTTTTTGAAAGAGTGCCCTCGCAGAGCCCCAACAACCCAGTTTCAAAACAACCCTAAACCCGAAAGCCTAAGCTCCAAACCCAAAGAACCCCTGAAGAAGCCCAAAACCCCAAAGAACCCTATAAACCGTCATAAACCTCATAAACCCCAAAACCCGCAAAACAAAAGCCATAAACCCTAAACCCTCACAAAATCCTAGAACAACACCGGAGATCCCGAGGTTGGTGAGGAGGTCGGCGAAGCCCGGGCTCCGTTCCATCTTCAGCTCTTGGTAAGAATCGGCGGCCAGCTCGTAGTACCTTTACTAGGATGCCCCTAGGGTTTAGGGTTTATAGGGTTTCCCAGAGCCTCCAAAGCCCCTTAATTGAGGAATCTACCTTAAACCATATTAGGGATCCTATTATGATTTGAAAGGTATATTGCTTGACTAAGGGGTTTTGGAGGCTCTGGGTTACAGGGTTTGTAGGGCTTTATAGGGCTTATAAGGGTTTGTAGGGTTTGGGGATCTCGGATGCCCGGTAACCTAGGAACAGAAAGGGGCTCCCTTTAGGGTATTGGGTAACTTAATAAGGAACCTAGGACTACAAAAAACACATGAGGGTACTGGGCATCTTAGTTTAATTGAAGCTCAGGGGTTTGAGCCTGTTTCTTTAGGGCTTACGCGGGTTTAGGAATTCATGGTCAAGCTCCTCTTAGCCAACCGGTCATCGCCAAAATAAGCCCTTACCAAACCGTATGATTCAATGATGAGACAGCCTTACTGCGTATATTCGATTTCTATACTAGCGTTGATGGTATAAACCCTGCATTACCACTATGACCCCAGAGTATGGGAATTATGGCATATTCCTTCTTGCGGGTATGCAGGATTTATATCATCAATCCTATGACTTTCACACTCCAAGCAACTCCATGGCCCCGACAGCGTCGCCACCCGCAAGCTTCAGAGAGCCCAAGTGCTTCAGGACGCGGGGATAGTCCTCCTCGGGAAGTCACCTAGAGTCTAGAGGCCCTGTTTACCAGCTGGCATTAGAGAGGCGCACTTTTTCAAGCAGAATAACATGTTCCTCTAATAATTACATAGTACGGCTCTATGCTGGCTAGAAGGGCAAGCATGAAGCATCCACAAAACATGTTCAAACCACCAGGAAAAGCGTTAAAACAACATAGCTTGCACGATCTCTTAAGAGCCTACTTTACTCGCAAAAGATCCTAAACCCGAATTCCGTTTAAAGATCGAAGACAGATCGTGTTCAACAGCAGCCTAGCCGCATGGCTGGTGGCCTCGAGGCTGTCGAATAGCTCCTGTGAGCGGGGCGACACTGAGGATCCTTCTTTTCGCCAGTTTAGTTCTGATGAGAATTATTGCTAGATGCGCTACTAGAACTAGCAGAAGTAGCAGCAGCAGTAGTGGTAGGAGCAGTAGCAGCAGCAGTAGTAGTAGTAGTAGTAGTAGTTGTTGTGAAATAGTAGTAGTAGTCGTCGTCGTAGTAGTCGTAGTAGTAGTAGTAATAGTAGTAGTAGTAGTAGTAGTAGTAGTAGTAGTAGTAGTAGTCGTAGTAGTCGTAGTAGTAGTAATAGTAGTAGTAGTAGTAGTAGTAGTAGTAGTAGTAGTAGTCGTAGTAGTAGTAGTAGTAGTAGTAGTAGTGGTAGGAGTGGAAGGGGTAGTAGTAGTAGTAGTAGTAGTAGTAGTAGTAGTAGTAGTAGTGGTAGTAGTGGTAGTAGTAGTAGTAGTAGTAGTAGTAGTAGTAGTAGTAGTAGTAGTAGTAGTAGAAATGATAGTAGTAGTAGTAGTAGTACTACTACTACTACTACTACTACTACTACTAATACTACTACTACTACTACTACCACTACCACTACTACTACTACTACTACTACTACTACTACTACTACTACTACTACTACTACTACTACTACTACTACTACTACTACTAGCATTGGCAGTAGTAGGAGGAGGAGCAGCAGCCATAGTACTTGATGTGCTGTTGCGGTGGCCGTTGTTGTTGTGGTGGTGGTGGTGGTGGTAAATGATGTTGCAGCAGGAAGCGCAGTTTTAACGTGGTAAAATGCTTGGAATCTTGGTCCGGAGAGGTCCCACGACCAAATATTGATGCCGTCCGCCCGTCCGGCCCCGCCCTTTTGCCGCTACTAGACGACGTTGGATAGATGCCGTTCCTGCATGAACAGGTGGCTAACCAATGTTGTGTATACTCAGGAACTCGGACCAGAAGATTTAGCTACATGAGATATACATACATATAATATAAATATATATATATATATATGTATATATGTATATGTATGTATGTGTATGTGTATGTACATCTACATGTACATGTATGTGTATATGTATGTGCATGTATGAGCTTGTCTGTCTGTCTATCTGTCTTTTTGCCTCTGCTTCTATGTATGTATCTATCAAATCCCGCTCTCTGCATATGTATGTATGTATGTATGTATATACGTAATTTATGTATGTATATGCACATATGCATGCATGCCTGCATGCGTGCAGGCTTTGGCATACAAGGATGCAGGAGACATGAATGCACCTGGCAGGACACCACACCAAAGTCTACTGTGAGTTCAGAGCATGTTCTTGCGCTGCCGTCCTGCAGCTCGCCTGTTGCTCTTCCCGCTTTGTTGAGCTTGTTGCGCGAGTTTGTTGTGCAGCTGCCCACGTGCCAGTGATGCACTGTTCTTGTTTCACAGACTGATGCCATAGCATGAAGTCCACGAGTCATGAACTTACTTCTGGCCTTGGCAGAAAAGAGGAACTCTTCCTGCCCAGTAGTTGTGAACAGATCCACCAGAAGCTGGGCGTACTGGACCGTTCTGGCACTGCCCAAACTGTCCAGCACTGCCTTTGCCTCGGTCTTGGTAGGGACAAGCTGTGGTTGAAAATCGTGGGAAACAGCGGTGAAGATCTCGTGGTCTTCAACAACATACTGGCATACAGCTGCTTGAAGCCAGAAGCCTGCTATGCGATTGGCTTCATGCCTGCAGAAGTTCCTACATTCCTACATACCTACAGATATATACACCTCCATATCTACCTACATGCGTGACACATGTATGCATACTTTCATCTGTGTACTCACATTCATGCACACATGCATACATTAAAACATTCATACATACATGCATATAACCACAACCCCATGTACGTACATACATGCATGCATACAAGGATGTGTACATTTATACATCATATTGTACAATAGGCGAGTAGGAGGGAAGGAAGAAGATTGGGAGGAGGTTTGTCTCGCCTCGGAGTGCGAAGGCCTACACCCAGTACAGACCCTGAGCAGTAGGGATCCTGTTCAACGCGCCCCTGGATAAGCTTTCCGTGCACATTATCCTAGTTGTCATAGAACACACATCCCTGAAACCTCCAAGCACACCTGCACCCCCAGACAGTCACAATGCCAAGCTGCCTCCATGTAGTAGCTCCTCGCTCCTTCCCAATCCTGGGTTGCTTGAACCTCTAAGTTCTGACCCCCAAACCCAAAGACCTACACAACCAAAAACACTGAAGCGCAAAGACCCTGAAACCCAACAACACACGAATGAAAGCATGACAACCCCTAAATCCTGCAGCCCTGCGCCTCTAATTCCCTGGACACGCAAACCCTACGTGACACCAGTTTCAGTTTCAGAAAAAACCCAAGCCCGAATGCCCTTAGGTCCAACCCCCTGAATAAAACCCCAAGGGAGATCTAAGAATCCGAACGCCCTGCACAACCCTTTGTTGAAAACAACCCTCTGCCTAGACCCCCAACTACCCTCTAATATACCCCAATATATATATATACTCCGATTAACCATTTTGGGGCCATAAGGGCTCTATTGACGTTTACTTATCAAACGGCACTTGGGGGGTCTTGGTGCCTAAAACAAGGGCCCGTAATAATTGGCATAGGGCTTTGGGGTATTTCATACTGTAGTTCTATAAGGAACCACCAAAATAGTATAGGCAATTCTGTAGGCCCTATATCATGTTGAAGAACGCCCTCTGCCAGCTCAGAACGGGACTCTTGCCGTCGTACAACCAACCGACCCAGCAGTCGGAGTGCCAGGGCTCCATCCAGGCTCTGCTTCGAATGCACCTCCGATAGTTTCAATGGGGTCCTTTTGGTAAAAAAAAGGGGGATCCTTTTTGGTGTTAAAAAACTACAGACTAACAAAGGGGTCTGTAAGAGCTTTTCTGTAGTAGGGCGTAAGGTCTTGAGGCTCCGAGATAGTTCCGAGATAGTTTGAAAGGAGGCCTCTAAGTCAAAAGCAAGGCAAAAGAAAGGGGGTCTATACATCAAGGCCTGAAGGTTTGAAGGAGGTCTCTAGGTTAAAAGCCAACGAGAGGGTTTCTATAAAGGCTTTGTAGTAGGGGCCATGGGGTTCAACCAATGGTCCGGGTTCTATCATCGTAGTCTGATGATTGCAGGGCCAGGTTGTCTCAGGCCCCTGGTTTCGTCGGGACTGTCGGGATGTGGAGCCACGAACGAACCAAGTGCTGGAACGCCAACAACCCTCAGACTCTCAACTATGAATCCGAGAAACCTCGAAAATCCTAAACCCTCGACTCCTAAACCCCACAACCCAGAGACCGAAAGCTGTAAACGGTGAAACCCCCAAGCACACAGTAACTGCGTAGACCGAAGAAAGACAAACCGAAAGAAAGAAGCCCCGCTTGGGGTCGCATAATAACCCTGTATACTAACATCCTCATCCCTGAACGTCGTTATCGTTCTTCTTCATTACCCAGACCCTCAGGACGGGAGGATCTAGAAGGTAGCCCCAAACTTGAGGCCCTATACTAAGGGTACCTTGTTGCAACCCCCATTAAGTTATCTACTTTTGGAACCTGCCGGGGGTCTGGGTAATGCAATCCAGGTGTCCTCGAGGCCCTGCCGGAGGATGACTTCTGCATTTGAGAAGTCCGCCACTGACTCGATGAGCCTTCGGGGCACAGGATTCAAACTGTCGGGCTTTGGGATTGAAACCGTCTGGTGTATGTTATAATACCCTTATAGATCCCTTATATAGACCCCTTTAAAGGATTCCACTTCTAACTATGAATGCACCTATACAGGTTTTTGATTCTTCAGGAAGTTCAGGGTTTTACTTCGGGCTTATGCTTCCAAAGTCAAGGCTTTAGGGTCAATGAGTCCCAGAGACTCCAATATCCCTTAATTAAGGAATATACCTGAAAATTTAGTAGGACCCATAATATGATTTAAAGAATAATTCCCTAGTTAAGGGGTATTGGAGTCTCTGGGGTCTTGGGGAGAGGGGTGCCTGGTAAAGCTCTTGCGGCGCCTTCTGAAGGGTTTTCCATGGTCGCGATGATTCTACTCTCAGGTTTAGGGGCTTACTTAGAGGATCATGGGACTTAGTAACTAGGGTTATAAGTAAGGTAACTATACTTATAACCCCAATTAAGGTACTTATAACCTTACTTACTATGTCCCATACATCCCTTATAGATCCCTTTAAGGGAACCTTTAAGGATCTCTTTACAGAACCCTTTAAAGAACCTCCCTATAACTTTAGGGTCCAGGGGGCTTAGGAATTACCGGATTACGGGTTCAAGGCTTGGGGTGCTGCGGTTGATGATATAAATCCTGCATGACTCATGATAAGGAATATACCACAATTCCCTTAAGGTGTTGTATAAGGGTACCTTTAGGGGCTCCTTTAAGGGATCTATAGGGTTTTAGGGTTTAGGATTGATGATATGTAAATCCTGCATGACTCATAATAAGGAATATACCATAATTCCCATAATTTAGGGTCATCAAGGCAATGCAGGATATATATCATCAACCGTGGGACCTGGGAGGTGGTAACCCAATGTCACGTCCGCAAGAGGAGATACACTCAGCAAGATCTGGGTCACACATAGTATCGTTGAGCCTGCAAGTAAATAGTGCTGTTATGGATTGGAGGGGAATTGCTTCAACTTCCGTAAGCCATAAACCCTAGGGATCTAAGGACTCATATAAAGGCTTTTAGGCCGAAAGGCCATACTATATAAGGCGTTCGGGCTGTTTTGATCCCCAGGGAAAGACATCCACATTCCTAAGCCACTTCACTCCCAGGCGCAGGCTCCCGACGGAGTTGAAGACCGAGTGCTTCACTTCCGCTGGGGCTTCGCGGGTTCGATCCTGCAGGTGTATTGTTTTATAAAAAGAAAAAGTTGTGTTTATAAAAGAAACTAAACAAAAAGCAATGTTTTTATAACAACAAACAACAATGTCTTTAGAAAAAACAATTCACGAGCGGGTGGGGTTCTTGTTGGGGATCATAGCTTAGCAGACCTACATGATCAGGTAAAGCCCAGATTCTGGGCTCGTAAGAGTTTTCAATCGTGTTTCGGGGTTGCAGGGCCCTCCTTAAGCCAGGATCAAAACCAATTGAAAACGAGTGTGTACTAGTGTCTACAGGTCTGACAGGGTTCCATAGATGGGCTCCTTCTGAAGGTTAGCATCATAGGGATATACACCGTCTGTAACCCCTGTGCTGTCCTTTCTGTGCCAAGCCTGCGGTTTGCTCAAGGACTGTAGGACTGTAGGACATTCGCCTCGATTTCGAAGACCGGGGTCTATGAAACCTGAAACCTAAACCCTGGTCATGTGGGTGGTTGTCAATATTAGGGTCCCTGTTTGAGGTACCCTAAATATGAGGTGCCGCACTATATTAAGGACCCAAAATGGGACCCTAATTTTGACAATCACCCATATCTCTGAAAGCACTACTGGCACAGCTTCCTCCAGCCACTGGACGGCCGTGTTCACCAGCCACTGCTGAATTCGCTGTCGGACTTTGGTGTTCAGGGCACCCACCTGGACGTGCTTGCCCAAAGGGTCCAAGTATCATCATGGTAGATACTTAGACCCCCAAAATGCCCTATAAGTATATACCAGAATGATACTTGGACCCTTTGGGTTGGGAGGTCACGAGGGAAATTGTACGAAGAGAGCCCTGGTTCTAAGATTACGGAAGACTGTTGCTACTGCGACTGCTCCCCAGATGACTGTATGCGTGGCTGCTTACCAATCTTGAATGGTTTTTGGTTACCCCAACTAATTGTGATGACTCCCGCTGTCGGTCTGCAAATCACTGATATCAACGCGGGGACGACTACTGTTTGTGTCCGTGCTCGTCGTCGTCGATAGTAGTAGCTTAGTAGTAGTAGATGCTGGTAGTAGTAGAGGAGGAGCTACAGCAGCATCAATGGTATCATGCTCGAACTTCATGTCACATTCGTAGTATTTGTCTTCTAACCAGCCGCTGACTTCCCGGTGTTTTGTAGCAAAGCCAAGATGGAGTTCAGCATCTGCGAGGCTCAGGTTGCGAGGTCTGGGTCTAGAGTAGGTGGAGGATTCCGGGCATAGTTGACAAGGTCTCAGGATGTTCTGGTTTACCAGATGCCTTGATACCCTTCCGAGCCATGGCGTCTGGATATCATCAGCGCCCTCGAAAGTTTGGACCAGATCGCGAACAGTATCGAAGAAACCTGGACTCTTGCTACGGAGTTTGGACTAAATTGGCAGAACACAAAAATCACATGATCTAAAATTTGAAAATACTATACTAGAACATATGACAGTGAACTTTAATATAATAGAATATACCATAGCCTACTATGGTATACCATGGTATCATCCTAACTCTGCCGAATGCGCTGAGAACGCATCGAAGCCGAAGACCGAGATGCCCCAGCCCGCGCCTTTGCGGAGTCGTTGTAGTCAATAGCATCCGGATCTATGGACTTTAGGATGTTGATCTTGTCTTCTTCGACCGAGGCCGAAGCGTCCTGGGGCCGGTTAAACCCTAAACCCTAAACCCTAGTCCTTCAAAAACTCATGCTCAATAGCTGTAGCAATGGTAGTAACCACAGTCAGTATCGTAAAACTAGTAAGAACCGTCACAATGATAGTCACAATGGTCAGTAGAGTTCATTAGAGCAATAACAGCAAAAGTAGCAATAATCATAACTACCTGTAAATCCTCACAGCGAAAACATTCGTCGAGGTCTGTAACAGTGGGTATAGGGTAGTTGGGGGGTCCAGGAAAACAGCACCCGAAAGCTCTGAAACTGGGTTCTAACTTACGTTACCATAATAATGGGGATCGATACTAAATTGCATGATTCTCTGACTATGGTAATTTAGATTAAACCCCTGAACCCCCGTAGAACCCTTAGAGCAACCCTTATAGATCCCCTCAGGAAGCCTACATTCTAGTCTAGGATGCCCAGTAACCTAGGAATAAAAAGGGCTTCCTTCTTGGTATTGGGTAACTTAGTAAGGAACCTAGGACTACAGAAAGGGAATAAGGGTACTACTGGGCATCCTAGATAGTAACAAGACCCTAGGAAAAGAGTCCTGGACTCCTGTAACAAGAACCCAGACCATTGAAACCCTGAAAGATCCTTTTTAAAGAACCCATTCAGGGAACCCTCTATAGCCTTTAAAAGGAAGCCCAGGAAAAGAGAACCCTTATGGATCCTTTTTAAAGAACTCAGGGAACCCTCTATAGCCCTTAAAGGGAACTCCAGAAATTTGGAATATGGTTTCAGGGTAGGATACCTTATAATTTACCATACAGGGTTTAGGACAACAATATTCCAACTTTCTGGCTTTTACTGTAAATTGAAGCCCAGGAAAAGAGGGCTGCACTATTGTAACCCTTGTAGATCCTTTTTAAGGAACCCATTAAGGGAACCCTCTATAGCCCTTTAAAAGGAAGCCCAGGAAAAGAGGGCCTGGATCCGAAGGGATGCGAGGACGTCGTAGATGCCCTGCAAGCCGGTCTCGAAGAGGGCAAGGCGAAAGGAGTCCTCCACGTTTCCACAGGTCTCCCTGCTTTGGGGATGTCTGGGATTTATAGGCTTCGGTTTCATAAACTTATACAATGTCTGGCAAGGCGGAAGGAGTCCTCCGCGAGTTTGGGCGCCGCAGTGCTCCGTGGTTTTGGGGAGTTGTGAGATTTTGATGGGTTTCGGATTCATAAACTTATATAGGCTCCTGCTTGGGATTTTGTGGGATTTTTTCGGTTTCATAAAACTTATACAGGGTCCTGCAAGGTGTTGGGATTTCTTAAATTGAAGGTCATCGGTACTGTGTTTTTTGTACAGCGTAAGAATCCCGCAAGCACATAGAATCTATGTTGGGGTCCCTGAAGTTTCAGGGCGCACTGTGCAGTTTTTGTTGCAAGGTTTTTGGGTGTGGGGTTCTACGGCTTCCAGAGGGTTCCAGTTAATCCAAAATAGAGATCTGCTGTAACTAATCTGGTCACCGCGTACTGGTAACTTAAACTAAGCTCCTGAACAGGAACCCAGTTTAGGAAACAAGATCCGGCTCTCAAAGCAAACCATCGCGAGATGGTCTTTGTTCTGACGGCAGCTATAGCACTCCTTCTGCAGAGGGTCCAAAGCACCTACATGACAAAAATACTTGCCCGAGCCATTATAGTCATTTCCTGCTCGCAGAACCCTAAACTTAGGGCCCTTGGGTTCTGCAAGCTTGACCTATAGTCTCCATTGTAGTTCCTTTTTGGGGTTACCTTATAGGATCCTTAATATATAGTTGGTTAAACCAAAAAAAGGAACTACAATGAGACTATAGGGAGGCTGTGCGAGGTTCGCCTGCTAGGCTTGCATGGCATGACTCAACAACCTGCGGAGCCCAAACACACCCTTGCGTTTTGAACCCGGTGGTCCTGCAAACCAAACCTGATGCATAATCGGGACCCCTAAACCCTATTCACCCTAAACCCTGAACCCCAAACCCTATTCACCCTGAACACTACCGTTCCCTTTGAAGTAAACCCTTACGCAAGCCCCAGTTGCAAGGTCCTTCTCGGCCTGCGGCATCAGGACCGTAAGCTCCTTGTGCTCCTCCGACAGAGTCTGGGGCTAAAGAAGGATAAGCTTTTGAGTTCAGCATGTGTGTAATGTTGGATCCAGATTAACAAACCCCCCCCCCGCTGTCAAGGTTAGCCCGCTTGAACTTGTTCATGGGTTCAAGTTTTTCCGGCCCCCCCCCCGATTAAGTGATGGTACAGTAGTACAGTAGTACAGTAGTACAGTAGTACAGTAGTAGTATTACAGTAGTATTACAGTAGTATAATAGTAGAACAGTAGTTTAGTAGTAGTATTGAAGTCTAGTACTATTGTAATAATACTATACTACTGTACTGCTTCTATAGAAGCAGTACAGTAGTATAGTATTATTACAATAGGGGGTTGGGGGTTTGAAGGGGTTCAAGGACTTGAGGGGGTTGAGGGGGTTGAGGGGTTTGGGGGTTCAAATGTGGCCGGCCATGAGCTTGCCATCAGCTCAAGAGTGCCCGCATAAGCGCCGCATCCCCACCCATTGGCCATGAGCTCCAACATGAGCGGCAACGAGGGAACCATGGGAACCATGGCTGAGAGACTGGGGCATGATTGGCAATTGTGAGTAATTACTTGGTTAATTACTTAGGATTGTGTCATTAGTAATTCATTAATTATTTGGAGCCGAGGATGGGCCAGCTGATGAGTCAGATCCATGGGTTGCTCCATAACATGGAGCGGCGAGCCGTCATGGGCCGGATAAGTAAGCATCTTTTGTATTTTAAATTAATTAGTTAATGAGGTATTACAGGTTTAATTACATTTGTCTTGAGCCAAGGACGAAGTCCATGGCAGTTTCCGCGATCGCCTCCGCCATGTTGCCACCAGGCTCATGGCGGGGCGATCATGGGTTTTGGTCAATTGGCAGTGGCTCGGACCGTCATTAGTAATTAATTTGTCATAATAAGAATGTAAATTACATATTTTAAGCTCTGAAGCCCATACATGAGGCAATGGCGCTGCGATCAGTGGATGAGAGATGAGCTCCTCCACACGTGGATGCTCTATGCTCCTCCCCTGGTATTAATTAGTGTTTTTTAAATAATAAGTAATTAATTAGGGTTTAGGGTGCAATTAGGATTGGGTTTAGGAGTGCTTCGGGTTTGAGTTCGTGCATGAGGAGCATGACATTGTCATGAGCCATCCAATGCTGCATCAGCACTGGCGCATCATATGCACGGTGGCATGGGTGGAGGCCCCTGGCAAAAACATAAAACCCCCCCTAACCCCTGTAAACCCTATATAATTAACCCCACAACCATAACTATCCCTAAACCCTAAACCCTGCAGGTGAGCCTGGCATTGTTCCGGACCCATGAGTATGACAGCGATGAGTCTGGATGCTGCAGTAGTTCTTTTTTTTTAGATTAGGGTTTAAGGTTTAATTAGGGTTAATTAAACCCTCCTAAGTAAACCCTACTTAACCCCTACTTTAATTAACATAATTAAACCCTAAGCCCTAAACCCAGGCTGTATGATCCTCGCAATGATGAGATCAGCGATAAGCACATGGTCATGAGCGAGGTGACGCAGAACATGGAGTCCGCCATGAGGACAGCCTTCATAATTGAGAGTAATTAGAGCCCAAACCCCATAAGGCCCAATTAACCCCCCCCCCCTTTCAGGACGGAGATCTTTGAGCTGGCATCATGGGAGACTGTGTGGGGCGACATGAGAGGCAGCTCAGGGAATAATTTAAGTATCAATTTTCCATAATTTGTTACGGTTAATAGATTATTGAGAAATAAGTTATGGTAATTTATTAGTTAGCTAGTAATAAGATTCAGCCGAGGCAAGCATTGGCTGATCAAAAGCTGGCACGGCATGGCCCGTTCCCACCATGAGCCGGCCAAATTCAGAGCATGGGTTGAGACCCATGGGCCAGAGCCCAAAGCGATCATGCGGTCCTACCATGGGCATTTCATGCCCATTGAGGCGGAGGCATGAGCCCTCAGCCCGGCCATGAGTCCATGAGGAGATGGGCTCGTATATGAGCCATAAGGCTGTAGATCCCATGAGGAGATGGGCTTTTTTAAAAGCACCCATGACGCCAGCCATGAGCTGCAGTAATTAGTTCAGTTAGGGATAAGATTAGTCTTTGGGTTTGTTTGGGGTTTAATTAAGGTTTAGGGTTTAGGATCAGGTTAAGCTCGGCATAGCGCCGCATGAGTAAGTAATCAATGCATGAAGCAGCATGGCATTTTTCATGGGTGCGATGAGGGGATGGCTTTCTGATCTTCGCATGAGAGCAGCGAAACACATGGGGAGGGTTGGGCCCTTACTTAAAGGATCATGGGACTTAGTAATTAACTAGGGTTATAACTAGGGTAATTAACTATACTTATAACCCCAGTTAGGGTACTTATAACCTTACTTACTAAGTCCCATGATCCTCCAAGTAGTTAATGCCAAAACTCCAAACCCCATACTGCCCTTATCCCTAAACCCTTTAACTACACCCTAGACCCTCAACCTTAAACCTTAATTAAACCCTTTTAACTTAACCCTAAACCCTAAAACCCTAAACCTTAAACCCTTCGAAATAAACCCTACACCTTAAAACCCTAAACCTTAAACCCTTCGAACTAAACCCCAAACCCCAAAACCCTAAACCTTAAACCCTTCTAACCAATTAAACCCTAAAACCCTAAAACCCTAAACCTGAAACCCTTGTAGCTAAACCCTAAACCCTAAATCCCTAAACCTTATATAAATCCTTGAAAATAACCCCTAAACCCTAAAAGCCCAAACCTGACACACTGCTGCGGGCATGAGCTGCATGAAGCCGCACAAATGCAGTGACTTAGATGAGCTGTGGGCATGAGCTGCATGACACCGCTTGCATGCAGTGCTTTCGATCAGCTGTGAGCATGACAAGCATTGTGGATGAGCTGTGGGCATGAGTTTTTGATAAAATGTGATTTTGAGCTTTAGGCATTTGTTTCATTAAGTTTCACATTGTGCCTTTTTCATGACATAGGTTTTCAAGTGAGTGTGCATCTGTATCACGCCATGGTGTGGAGCATCAGTCTTCGTGAGCAGGTGACATGCCACAACAGGTTTGCCATCCTGTCGCAACCAGATGAGGATGAAGATGAGCTCATTGCTTTGAACGACATGTTCTTCGACTGGGATGAGCTGGAGAACAGGTGGAATGAGATGAATGAGCCTTGGGAGCTTCATGATTTTTCCTTCATGGGGAGGTTCTCATGGTCTGATGAGTCAGAGAAGACTGGGGTTGCTCAGCATGTTTACCAGCACGAGCATGTCAACAGCATGAGCCGCAGCAGCAAGGGCATGAGAGAAGTGAAGAAGCATGCTGTTGTGAGAGACAAGAAAGCAGCATGCAGTGAGCCCATGCCTCAGATCATGCCAGCTCCCATTCGAGATGAGGGCTTGCGGCAGAGGCTGCATGAGAGCATTCTGAGCATGCAGTTGACAAGGCATTCGCAGTACCATGCGATTCGCAGCATCATGAGAAAGGCATTCAAGACGCATGCGAAAAAGGAGCGACGACTCAAGCGCCAGCATGAGCAATTGAAGACCTCTGCATTCTTCGATTGGGACGAGTTAGATGCTGCTGAAGACAATGAGCTGAGCAAGCGATCAAACTCATGGTTCGATTGGGATGAGCTGAGTTCTGCTGAAGCCATCAGCAAGGCCAGCATGGGGAAAGCATGTAAATGTGCCTGTGATGAACATGTTTTCCGTCTCTGATATAACTATTCTCCAATCCTCATTCCTTATATCTCTGATATTCTCCAATCGAAATTCCTTATATCTCTGATATATTCTCCAATCCTCATTCCTTATATCTCGGATATTCTCCAATCGAAATTCTTTATATCTCTGATATATTCTCCAATCCTCATTCCTTATATCTCGGATATTCTCCAATCGAAATTCCTTATATCTCTGATATATTCTCCAATCCTCATTCCTTATATCTCGGATATTCTTCAATCGAAAATCCTTATTTCTCTGATATATTCTCCAACCCTCATTCCTTATATCTCTGATATTCTCCAATCGAAAGTCCTTCTATTCCTGATATATTCTCAAAGCCTCGGGCTTTCTAGGTCAAAGCCAAGGGCCTGCAAATCCCTGGTCCCGGGCCGGACCCTGTTAATCGGGGGGGGTTTCCTGCTATTCTGGGGGGGGCGGGGCCTGCAAAGGGGTAGCCTTGGAAAACTTGACAAACCTATTCTTTTTATATACGGTTTAATTAGGGAACCACCTGTTTCTGGCAGCAGAAGATATCACCCAAATCCCAGGGATCCCAAGGCCAGGGATCTCTGACCCTTCCATCTCAAAGCTTCGGGCTTTCTAGGACAAAGCCAAGGGCCTGCAAATCCCTGGTCCCGGGCCGGACCCTGTTAATCGGGGGGGGTTTCCTGCTATTCTGGGGGGGGCGGGGCCTGCAAAGGGGTAGCCTTGGAAAACTTGACAAACCTATTCTTTTTATATACGGTTTAATTAGGGAACCACCTGTTTCTGGCAGCAGAAGATATCACCCAAATCCCAGGGATCCCAAGGCCAGGGATCTCTGACCCTTCCATCTCAAAGCTTCGGGCTTTCTAGGTCAAAGCCAAGGGCCTGCAAATCCCTGGTCCCGGGCCGGACCCTGTTAATCGGGGGGGGTTTCCTGCTATTCTGGGGGGGGCGGGGCCTGCAAAGGGGTAGCCTTGGAAAACTTGACAAACCTACTCTTTTTATATACGGTTTAATTAGGGAACCACCTGTTTCTGGCAGCAGAAGATATCACCCAAATCCCAGGGATCCCAAGGCCAGGGATCTCTGACCCTTCCATCTCAAAGCTTCGGGCTTTCTAGGACAAAGCCAAGGGCCTGCAAATCCCTGGTCCCGGGCCGGACCCTGTTAATCGGGGGGGGTTTCCTGCTATTCTGGGGGGGGCGGGGCCTGCAAAGGGGTAGCCTTGGAAAACTTGACAAACCTATTCTTTTTATATACGGTTTAATTAGGGAACCACCTGTTTCTGGCAGCAGAAGATATCACCCAAATCCCAGGGATCCCAAGGCCAGGGATCTCTGACCCTTCCATCTCAAAGCTTCGGGCTTTCTAGGTCAAAGCCAAGGGCCTGCAAATCCCTGGTCCCGGGCCGGACCCTGTTAATCGGGGGGGGTTTCCTGCTATTCTGGGGGGGCTTCCTGCCTGCTATTCTGGGCAGAGAAAAAGATAATTAATAAATTCTCTTGCTTCTGCTTGTGCAGGAGAAGGCAGAAAGGGAGTACTGGCGAAGCATGATGCGAATGAGGGGAGGCGGTGATGAGTCGCAGCATGAGCAGGAGCAAGAGAATGAGGAGACAGCCATAGTCCTGGACGATGAGGACAAAGCCCTCTCCCAGACTCCTGTGGCAAAGAAAGAAGCGGATGAGAGCATGAACCCACCCACGGACCGTGCCAAGCGACAGCTGAGCTTTGGATCGGCTTCACCAGCCGAGTCCAAGCAGTCAAGGCTGCATAAGTTCTTCCGGTCTCCG